GTCGCATAACCCTGGGACAGTCTGTACCTATATTACGTACAAATGTATTTATAATACCTACCGCAGATAAACCCCTTACCGCGGCTGCCATGGATAGATACAATCATAAATTACAACCAAATTCACGAGAGAAATAAAAGTAGGCCATACAAATATTTCTTCCGGTAACTGTTCAGCCATGGAGGTATACCTTGGTAAAACGTGCAAGAAAGACAAAAGTATCTATAGTTAGTTTTCAACTTACGATAAACTGTTCAGTTAATTGAAAGACAGCATTATTTTCGCCCTTTGGGGTGATGAGCGGCTCGCAGGGACGGTCGAATAGTAGATCCAGACATTTTAGGGTGAATTCGTCCGACATCTTAAATCTTTTACTACTACTTCCTGAAAAAACTGTTAAATGTCCTACGATAAGGACCTAATGTGAGGTAACTACACTTCACAGGGACCTGTGAATTGATGTGACAAGACGAGATCATTGTTGTGGTTTTTATACATTTTGTAGATTTGGGTTGGTGTGCAACATTGTATCTAGTTACTTAGTTAGTACTGTTTTTGGACGCAAAACCACTAAACGGAACTGATAAATTGTTGCATCCGTGAGAACTACTGAAACTTTTTTGAACTTGAAAATTTGGCTACGTATACGCAAAACATTCAGGATTATTTGTGTTATTATTTTAAAAAATTGATATGCAAAACTAAAAAATATTGAGATCCCTACTTTAGGGCTTCAAAATATAACAAAATACACAATATTACCTTTTGTTCGGCTCAGGTGTATTATTGTTATTCCTATTATCCATATTAGGCCTTAGGAAAAAAGCTGTTTAAGCCTAATGGTCTGTCCTACCGCCTGTCAAGCAGAGGCCGTGGGTTCGATCCGGGGCCCCCCAGAGTTTTTCGGAACTTTTGATAAATTTAATTTGAAATGAGCTTTTTGGTGTAGGAAAACATCGGCTTAAAACCCTCACCTGGCAGTGGTACGTATGAATATGACGGCCTCGGTGGTCGAGTGGCTTGCACACCGGTTTTCATGACATCGCCCTCATCTCTGAGGTCCCGGGTTCGATCCCCGGCCGGGTCAGAGTAGAAAACTAACTTTTCTATATTGTCTTGGGTCTGGGTGTTTGTGGTACCGTCGTTGTTTCCGATTTCCATCAAGTGCTTTAGTTAATTACTTTGGGATCATTTAAAAAAAATGTATTGTTGATGATGATGAGGTCTTTGTGTCTTTAGCTGAATTTAGCACTTTGTACGTTGAATTGTAAAATATTATCATGTCTGTCATGTGACCTTTCGACCTCTTCGTCACTCAAATCTTATTGGTAGCGCAGAATTCTGAGGACAAAACCACCGGAACAAACGCGAGGCGAGTTCCGGGGTATGGAGACCCTAGAGACGAAGGTCCGAGGGTCCGACAGCGGTAAAGTAATACAGTCCGTATTAAAGAAAGAAGACAGCGACACACGTTACCTTTATTTCAAAAGTGTTCTTGCAGTATTCGGATGGCCGCCGCTCTTCTCATATAATAATATAGTAATCGTTGGCTTTTCCTCCTTTAATTTCCTTTAGTTTTCGTTTATAAAACACTTCAACTTCAACTTTTGTATCTATGGCTCCATCGTTTTGCGCGACGATTTCGCCAACGTCAGGGTTGAAAGACATCAATGAGGTGCGGAGTACCCCAGGGGTCCGTATTAGGACTACTACTGTGGAACCTGGGGTACGATTGGGTGCTGAGGGGCGCGCTGCTCCCTCGGACGGCGGTCATCGCGTACGCCGATGACACGCTGGTGGCCGTCTGGGGGAGTACCTTCCAGGAGGCGGCCAGAAGAGCCTCAGTAGCGGCGGACATGGTGGTCCGCCGAATACAACTGCTGGGGCTCGAGGTCGCCGTGCCGAAGACGGATGTGGCCGTCTTCGGCGGGAGGGGTAGAGGTTGGGCGGTGCCGGCAGGCGCCCACATCTCCATCGTGGGCGTATCGGTCCCGATGAAATATTTGGGACTTGTCCTGGACCGGCGATGGAACTTCGGGGAGCATTTCCGGCAACTTGCTCCCCGAATAGTGGGCGCCGCATCGGCGTTGGGCAGGCTCCGGCCCAACCCCATGAAGGAGGCTATACGCCGGGTGACCCGGAGTATGGCCTCATACGGGGCTCCCATTTGGAGTGGGGTCTTATCAGAGGCGACGAATTTTTTTTTTTTTGACGGGGGGGAAATCTTTATCTAATCTAATCTTTCAGGGGTATCCTTAAAGATTTCCCAGGGAAACTCAGGGGTTATGTGGGGACTCTCCCTCCAGACTGGAGGGCCTACCCCACTAAAACCCCCCCGGGTTTCCCTCTCGCCGGTTGAGTCGGCGCCGTGGGATCAGTGAACATTCACCACGACGAGGGTGGTCGCTCTGCGAATATGCAGGGTGTACATGACGGTGGCCTGCGCTGCCGCATGCGTTCTCGCCGGTACTCCGCCGTGGGACCTCGAAGCCGACGTCCGCACTTACCGGCGGGGAATGAGGGGCCGAGGCGAGCGACCTGCTCCCCAAGAGGAGGGGAGCGGCGCCTTGCGGCGCAGCGCATGCGGGACCGGTGGAACGAGGGCTTGGCGGGTCCCCCCTATGGCGCTCGTACCATAGAGGTGATCCGCCCTGTCCTCGTAGAGTGGGTAAACCGGTGCCACGGGCCAATGTCGTACCACCTTGTGCAGGTGCTGACCGGGCACGGCTGCTTCGGTCACTACCTGCACAAGATGGCGAGGAGGGAACCGTCCCCGTCGTGGCACGAGTGCGGCGCTGCGGATGACACCGCGCAGCACACCCTAGAGGTGTGTAGCCGGTGGGATGAGCAGCGCCGCACTCTGACGGGGACTGTAGGGCAGGACCTCTCGCTGCCGAGCGTGGTTGCCGCCATGCTCGATAGCGAGGAGTCCTGGGAGGTGGTGGCCTCCTTTTGCGCAGAGGTTATGTCGCAAAAGGAGGCCGCAGAGAGCGCGCCGAGAGGGTGCGCGTCCGCCGCGTCCTCGCGCACCCGCTCCGGCGCAGACGTACGGGGAGAAGGCGAAGGCAGTTCGCTGCTCGCCTGATCCCCTAGTGAGACCAGCGGGCTCTGGACAGGGACTCCGGAGCCTGCATTGCACGGCCTCACTTGTCTGGGGGGCGGGTCGGAGGACAACCGACTCACCCCTCCGTTGGCGCGGGAGCCCTGGCGTAAGCTAGGGCGGCCGGGCGGCGTCGCGGTGAATGTTCACTGATCCCACGGCGCCTACTCAACCGGCGAGAGGGAAACCCGGGGGAGTTTTAGTGGGGTAGGCCCTCCAGTCTGGAGGGAGAGTTCCCACATAACCCCTGAGTCTCCCTGGGCTCAGGGGTACCCATAAAGATTCCCCCCTTCAAAAAAATTAAAAAAAGGTAGAAAGACACGTAGAGCGGTGGTGAGATAGATTGCCGGTTATTAAAATACTTCGGCGGTTATTATATATAACCGTCAATGTGAATAATAACCGGACAATTTCACAATGTCTTCTATTAATTTTTAAATCTTAGATTCTTATTCTTTTGAACGTCACATTATTTTTTTAATTTTTGGCAATCATGCGGAGGTCACGGGGGAGGATGCACTGCCTCTACGACACCTAAAGGCCATGAAAGTAGCGGCGCGTTATCTGTTTTTATAATGACGACTGTGCCAACATGGATAGACGGTGTAGTCCATTTTGCTCGCGCCTGCAACTGGTGCGATACTCTGTATGCCATCGCTTCCAGAAAGACTTTGCTACCTTCTCCAGAAGGGTATATCAGCCGAGCAGATTCGCTGACTCGACGAGTGACGCGGGTAAAGATAGCAGTGGAGACGTCAGGCGTCCGGCACTGCAGAGCCATGCTCAATGGCGTGCAGCGCCGCATGGCCATTAGGACCGTACGAGGATACCGCACCTTCGACGCGGTGACTGTCCTGGCGCGGTTTCCCCCGCTGGACATCCTGGCGGAGATGGATGAGCGTATTTACGCGCGCCTCCGCCAGGCGGAGGAAGCTGCGCCGCCGGAAATGCGGTGGCAGGAGCGTCGACGGGCATCCGAGAAGTGGCGCGAAAGGCTGGAACAGCCGTGGATCTCGCGCCATCGGCGCGATCCTACCCAACCTCGAAGCTTGATTGAGCCAGCGGAAGTGCATCACCACGTTCCGGCTGACACAGATACTCGTGAGGAAGGGAGGGGGCGGACACAGTTCCTCCCAGGTGCTGGGGGGGTTCCGGTGCGCTAAGTCGATCCCGGATCACACCCATTAGAGCACCCGAGAAGGTTACCGTGAGGTTTTAGCCGGTAGGAGTCCGAGGGCAGGTATCCTAGGAGAATTTCCCCACAAAAAAAGCAGTGGAGTTGTATGAAGAAAATGAGCCGGCGTTAGAGCTGACGGCTCAGCGGGATCGCTGTTCATGGCAGACAGTGGCCGTGAATTTATTAGGGCCTCTATTTGCGTAAGTATCGTAAGAAGCTTTTACAAGATGGTTCTTTCTAATTTTCACTATACTTTCCCAAGAACCTCCAAAATGCAAAGATGAAAAGAAGCAGATGGAATAAATTTCCAGTCTATTCAGTTCTCCGCGAGCTCTCGTTCTAGATATGGGCGATGATTGTCAAGAAACTTATAAAGGTCTCGCAAGAACGAATTATCGCCAGCAAAATTGATGCCATATTGTCAGTATATTACATTGCTCATTCCTGTCGCAATTTCGATATACAAACAGCGGGTTGTGAGAAAAGTGAAGATATATAACTACGCTTTGTGGCTTCTTACTCGCCTACCACGGATAGGCGTATACTGCGAAGGACCGGCGTAATCACATCCCGTATGCTTGAAGGCTTTGGCCATCTGACTCACACCACACGACAGCTAAGTAGATCTGCCATGAGAAGGAAAAATGGTTGCGGATTCGCCCTGAAACACGTATTGCACTTATGAACACAATCGCGAATAACTTGTCGAGCCGCAAGTATCCAATATTCATGCCTGAGCAAGGAAACCAATGTTTCTGAACCGGTGTGCAGATGTTTCCTATGGAAGTAATCTACTATTCGATCAACCACGTGGTCGCGTCGCGGTAGCACGACGTTGTGCCTTTGCGAATATCCTAAACCAGCATTTGATAGCCGCCCTAAAACTGTCCGTTTAGTGCACGCAGAGTTTGGCGCAGTGACTTAGAAATAAAAGTAATCACTAGACTTGTTCCAGCATAAACTTAGGACCTTTTGAGTAACTCGAAAGGTCATAGGTTTATGTATATATTTAGGTCACCTCCGATATATAACACTTACTGACGTATTCACGAATGATATCGTCATAGGCGGCACTTAAATTACGATGATTCTAGCTTCCTTTCAAGATATAGGAAACGTCTGTGAGTTTAAACGTTTAAAGTTTTGGTATCCATTGATCTACCAATAA